TGAGATTTGTCCCTGAATCGTCTTTGGTGCTTCACAAATCCCGAGGCCGGAGCTGGAGTGGTTTCATTTCATTTGAACAGTTTAAATAAATAATAATAATAATAATAATAATAAAAGGCCCAAAAACGACCAAAACGTGGCAAGAATTTCACCATCTGGGTCCAAAACTTGTCCCAAAAAGAGAAAAACACACAAGGCACTTTACACAAGGAAAGAACCAGACCAGGAGCACAGACCTGGACACGGTCTGGACACAGTCTAGTCCTGGTCTAGTCCTGGTTTAGTCCTGGTCTAGTCCTGGTCTAGTCCTGGTCTAGTCCTGGTCTAGTCCTGGTTCAAAACTGGACCGAATTGAACCTGGACTGAACCATTCTTCGGTCTTTTGTCGTGGTCCAGTTTGGTCCATTGGTACAGTAATGGTTTAGTCCTAATGTAGTCCTGGTCTAGTCTTGGTCTAGCCCTGGTTTTAGACTTTTCAGACCTGGACTGAGCCTGGACTGAGCCTGGACTGAGCCTGGACTGAGCCTGGACTGAGCCTGGACTGAACCATTCTTTGGTCTTTGGTCGTGGTCCAGTTTGGTTCGTTGGTCTAGTCCCGGTCTAGTCCTAATGTAGTCCTGGTCTAGTCTTGGTCTAATCCTGGTTTTAGACTTTTCAGACCTGGATCAGACCTGGACTAAACCTGGACTGAACCATTCTTCGGTCTTTGGTTGTGGTCCAGTGTGGTCCATTGGTAGAGTCCTGGTTTAGTCCTGGTGTAGTCCTGGTTTCAGACTTTATAGACCTGGACTGAGCCTGGACTGAACCTGGACTGAACCATTCTTCAGTCTTTGGTCATGGTCCAGTTTGGTCCATTGGTACAGTCCTGGTTTAGTCCTGGTTTAGCTCTGGTCTGGTCCTGGTCTAGTCCTGGTTTCAGACATTTCATACCTGGACTGAACCTGGACCGAACCATTCTTCTGTTTTTGGTCGTGGTCCAGGTTGGTCCATTGGTACAATCCTGGTCTAGTCCTGGTTTAGTTCTCCTTTAAACCTGTATCAGTCCTGGTTCAGACCTGGTTTAGTCCTGGCCTTTCCGTCTGGTCTCTGTATTGTTTAGACTTGACTCCGGTTTCTCTCAAGAGACCAGAACTAAACCGGGACTAAACCGGACCGGACCCAGGTCTTAATGGGGTCTTTATGAGCTCATCTTACAGTCAACTGTTCCACTGACATTTAGAGGAACAAGATCTGAGCGGGACTTAAGACCAAGAACCAGGTCTAAACCAGGACTAAACCAGGTCTAAACCAGGTCTAAACCAGGACTAAACCAGGTCTAAACCAGGACTAAACCAGGTCTAAACCAGGTCTAAACCAGGACTAAACCAGGACTAAACCAGGACTAAATCAGTTTTGTTTACAATATTTCCAGTTTAGTCCCACTGTAATCTCATGAGTCTAAATACACTTGTGCTCATAAAAGCTTTAAACAGAAAAAATTAAACATTTATTTACAGAAAACAGACTTTTCTCTCATTCTTCTTAAACTAAACAATATTTATGTATCTTTAAACTAAACAAACCAGAAAGAAATGTGTCTGGGACTGAAATCCTTCATCAAAAAACAAAAGTCACAGTATTTCAGAGCCGATTGTCATCTGAAACTTTTACAGTTTTATTTTAGACTCTGAATATAAAACAAACAAAAGGCACAATGACGTCATCTTAGTGGCTTTCTGCGAGATTTGTGAAGTCGCACTTAAATAAAATAATAAATTAAAAAGAGTGGAAATAAACACGAAGCCAACGGGCTAAATGCTACATGGACTAAACCTGGAGTAAACCTGGACTGGACCCGGACCGGACTAAAACATTCTCCAGTCTTTGGTCTTGAGCTGGGACTTGTCCAGACTTGGATCGGACCTGGTCTAGTTCTGGTTTAGACCTGGTTCTTGGTGCACGTGCGGTTCAAAAAGAGGCTCAGACATTGTGTGGTTGACAGTCCTGGTTTAGAACCTGGAACCTGGTTTAGACCTGGTTTAGACCTTGTTTTGGCCCGCTTCCTGGTCTGGGCGCATGTACAGTTGTATGAGGCCGTCCTTGTGCAGCTGTTGCCATAGCAACATCTCCAGACGCAGGTCGTGGTTTGCGAAGAATCCAACACCGTGGAACTTTTTGTCGAAGTAATGATCCGAGTATTTCCTGAAGTCCGGAGTCATGAAGCCGTACGCACTCACCTGGAACACAAGAGACCGAGTTTAGACCGGGTCTATTACCTGGTCTGGTCCTTCGTCTAGACCTTCATCTAGTCCTTCGTCTAGTCCTTCAGTCCTGGTTTAGTCCATGGTTTAGTCCATGGTTCAGTCTCTGGTTCAGTCCTGGACTAGTCCCTAGTTCAGTCCCTGGTTCAGTCCTGGACTAGTCCCTGGTTCAGTCCCTGGTTCAGTCCCTGGTCAGTCCCTGGTTTAGTCCTTGGACTAGTCCTTGGTTCAGTCTCAGGTTCAGTCCCTGGACTAGTCCT